GCCCTGCCTCGGGGGCCCCGGGGCGGCACACGCAGAGGGCCCCCCGGGGCGACAGGGGGTCTCGCGGCCTCCGAAGGGGCGCGCAAGGCTTCGTCGAGAGCGGAAGCGAGGAGATACACCAAGGACGCAGACGGGTTTTGTATTCGCTTAACTGGAAAAGGCATCTATTTTTAAACAAATTGCAAGAGGGAATAAAAAAGGAAAAAGCCAGAAGGGTTTGTTAACGGTAAACGGCCTTGCTGGTTCAGGATGGTTTACTACGTCAGGCTTTATTTTATCACGAAACATGCACTGGAAAAAATTCTGTTATGCCCGTAAGGCATCCAACAGGCTTGACTTTAAAAAAATCACCCCCAAAGCAAAAATTGGGTTGACCAGCCGATTACCATAAGGACCAACGTCCCCTTGAGCAGTGTCCAGCCGGACAGCAGATGTTAAGGCAGTGAGAGGCATGAGAGCGACGCTCCCGTATCCGCGTGAAGCATCTCGGCGTACTCTGCCCGCTGGCCGGCTGCGGTCAGGCGGATTCTTCCTCCTCCTCTTCGGTCTTCTGATCGTCCTCTGTGGCGTCCGAGGACTCGTGAAGGAGGACGTATTCCCTGCTGCTGAACCCAAATTTCAGCACATCCTTCTCTTTTAGTTCATAATAGCGCTGAGGTTCAATGCGCTGGTTATTCAGAAAAGTGCCATTGCCTGAGCCGAGGTCGATGATGTATGGTTTTACTTTCCGACCCACTGTGCCATCAGGACGGGTGTACTCCACAAGCCTTGCAAAAAAGAAACCCATGATAGTTAATGCCCAGACACCAGTTTGCTTCATACCTTTGAATGCTGGATTCCTTCCAGCCTCTCAGAGCAGCTCGACGGACATCAGAAGTACCAGATTCCTCCTCATTTGGCTGCTGGAGGCCCATGTGCCCGGGGGGAAAAGGCAGTTTATGCTACTGGACTGAGCGGCTGCCCAGCTCCCAGCGACTCTGGGCAGCTTACAGCAAAATGAAAGAGAAAAGTCACGTGCACCCAGAACGCATCAAAGACCAGTAAGAGAGGCTTCACAGCTCCCTTCAGGCCAGGCCAGGGAGCAGAGCCAGGCTTTCAGAGACTTGTGGAACAGCCACAGGGTGGGGGCAGGAGCGATCTCAGTTTTGAGTATGGCAGCTCCTGGAGACAGTCCATTATCCTGCTGGAGAAGAATAATTTCAATTCCTGACATTTGTCCCACGTCTTCCCTGCCTTCCTCTCCTCTTCCTTTTAGAACAACTTCCACTTCTCCATCTCATAATCATGATTTTTTCCTTCCCTGACCCCGCTATCTCTGGAAGGAATGACCTGTCCTCCCCAGATGCTCCAGTCAGCATGGCCGAGGGTGAGGGATGGTACGAGTGTGGCTTAACGAGGTGAGACAACCAGATTCTCCACATGGCCTGGCTTCCCCTTGGATGCTACCACTTTCTCCTCAATTCCTTTTGAAAGTCAAGGCAACGGCCTTCAGCTGGTTCTCCTTCCCACCCATTTCTCTTCTCTGAGCCAGTCTCATGAAACCAACCAACTTTCACTTCTATTTTTCAGCACTGCTTTTCTTGTTCTCTCTAAAACCTACCCTTTCTACTTGTCACTGATTCTTCTTCCAGCTGTTTCTTAAGCAAGACATTTATTCAAGTCTCTCCTGAGCACCATCCCTCTGCTGCCTAGCTTCTAAATCCCACTGAAACTCCCCTCTTCAATTCTCTTCACAGTGCAATGTTTGCTCCCTTTACTCTCTTCTGCTTGATTTTCTTCATTCCTCTGGTCACTGTTTTTTTTCCTACCTGCCCAGTAGCTCGTTCAGTATTTCCTCTCTACTGTGCCCTCAGAACTTGCATTCTTCTCTTTCTGCAGAGTCCCCTAATTCATCCCTAGATAGCCCATATGCATCCCATGACCCTCAGCTCCATCTAGATGTGTTGTACGCCCAGCTTTACTTCTTCACCCCAACAAGCATCTTCACATGTGATGTTAAGAAACAAAGAGGGGAGGATCACTCAACATAGCAAGCGGCTGCTGCCAGAGCTCCTCGTCCCAGAAACTTTGGCAGAGGGTGTGCATCTATTGCTTGAAACAAAACTCTATGCGTAATGACCAACTAGGATCAAAGCCATTAGATGAGGGAAGATAAAGGGTAATTTCTGCCCACCTCCTTTGCTTTTAAAAAAGACCTCGTGTACTCATGGGGGAGGTGGGCCTTTACATTCAGATCTCATTTGGGGGATGGATTAATAGCTACTATCAGACAGTCACCGATCCAGATCTGGAATGACAAGAGAGTCATGAATGCATGAAGTCAGCTGAGAAAAGCCATGGCTACACACTGTCACTTTTAATTACAATCTTAACCATGCTTAGACTTGGCTGAAGAAACAGAAGTAGCAGGAACATTAGTGATGATGTAATGCTGGAACTCAGTAAGTAAGAGAAACCAATGCTGAATTAGTCAAATAAATCTTGGACTTCGGAAAAAGAAGATTTCAGTCAGCTGAGAACAATGATAAACAGAATCCTGTAACTAGGGAAGCTGGTGGGGAAAGATGTTCAAGACAGGTGGAAGTTTCTCAGCATCTGTCAGATAAAATCACTCAAATTCGTTCTCAGTTGGATGCTGGCTTTGCTGTGGGTCCAGTGGAAGTGCCTCGGGAGGAGTCTCGCCCTGTTATCTGGGAATGGTTTGAACCTGTTGGACCTGAGGAAGTGGACAGGATCCTTGGAGCTGTGAGCTCAGCCAACTGCTCTCTAGATCCATGCCCCTCCTGGCTTGTGAAAGCAGCCCGGGGGGTGTTGTACGAGTGGGTTCTAACAATGATTAATGCATCTTTGAGTGAGGGGTTTGTTCCCTCATCTCTTAAGGAGGCCCCCTCCTCAAGAGGCCATCGCTAGACCCCACTATACTGGACAATGTTCATCCAGTATCTAACCTCCCCTT